GTGGACGACATCCTAGTGAAGTCGAAGCGGCGTCAACCCACATAACTGACCTTGATGTAACCTTCTCCGACCTTTGACGCTACCACATAAAGCTCAATCCAGCCAAATGTGCTTTCGGGGTGCAATCGAGAAAGTTCATTTGGTTCATGATCACTCAAAGAGGCATTGATATCAACCCGAGAAGATAGCCGCCATAAGGCAGCTACCCGAGCCCCACACATTAAAGGACATCCAAAGATTGAACGGGAAAATAGCCGCACTGAGTCACTTCCTCTCCAAATTTGCTGAGAGGAGCCTCCCATTTTTCAAGATTGTGAGAGGAAGCAATGAGCTGAAGGAAAGCAAGAACTGGACGGCTGAGTGCAGCGTAACCTTTAGAGATCTCAAGACATACTTGAGTACTAAGCCGCTGTTGTGTCAACCTAGGGAAGGGGAGACCTTGTATTTATACTTGGTCGACTCTCCCAAAGTCGTCAGCTATGAAGCACGGACACGCATAACATGAAGCCGTGTCGTGTCATGTCCGTGTCGGACACACGTGTCGAACACACGTATTCTATGTATTTTTTAGGATTTGCCTCGTGTTGGCGTGTCGGATGACCGTGTCGGATCCGTGTCCGTGCTACATAGGTCGTCAGCTCTGTTGTGGCTCGAGAAGAGGAGAACACCCAGAAACCAGTCTACTATGTCAGCCGAATATTGAAGATGGGTCGACTTAACTACCCTCTCATCGAAAAGGCTTCATTCATCATTGTCACCACTGTCAGAAGACTCCGCCCCTACTTCTAAGCACATTCAATAATTATGCGGACCAACTTGTCTCTGAAGAAGACACTCGGGAGCCCCACCACTTCAGGAAGAATGCCGCTATCTCATGCTCGATAGCCAACTCTATTGGCTGTCATACTCCGGCAGTAGTGCGGGGCCCTATCTCCAGTGTCTTTGGCCTGCTCTTGGAGAGTTTCATGAAGGGACTTGCAGGAATCACCCAGGGGTTAGAACTCTCACCCAGAAGATCATTCGCCAGGGGTATTATTAGCTCACTATACTGGTCAAATCCAAAAAGCTTGTCTCTCTATGCAAGAAGTGCTAATTCTTCGCAGCCATTCCGCGAGCAACAACCACTAAGCTCACCTCCATTCTGAGTCCAATTCCTTTTGTCCAGTGGGGGATGAATTTGCTGGGCCCTCTCCCCATAGCTTCTAGACTGCGGAAGTTCTTGATTGTCGCCATCGACAACTTCACTAAGTGGATCGAGGCCGAGCCCTTAGCTAAGATTAGTGAGAGTCACGTCACAAATTTTGTTTGGAAGTCCATTATTTGCCGATTTGGTGTACCCCTCTCATTTGTGACGGACAACGACACTCAATTCGACAGTAGGAGCTTCCGAAGCTTTTGTAAAGAGTGGAATATTCGCCTCAAGTTGTTCTTAGTTGCTCACACCAAGTGCAATGGACTTGCCGAAGCCGCTAACAAATGCATCCTCCAAGCCCTAAAGAAGGTAGACACGACGGCGGTAAATTGGGTTGAAGAGTTGCTTGAGATTATATGGTCCTACCACACCACTCACAAGAACTCTACATGAAAAACCCTCTTCAAGTTGGTCTATGGAGCCGAAGCAGTCACCCTAGTTGAAATCGGCATGACGACGATCTGAATGCGACATTTTGACGTAGACTTAGAGCACAGAAGGTCTTTGAATCGGACTCGACCTCATCGATGAAGTTTGAGAAAAAGCCCTTCTATCCCAAGTTGTCTATCAGCAGTGCATCGTCTGACAATATAACACCAAAGTCCGGCCCCATAGGTTCAATGTCGGTGATTTCGTCCTCCAAAATGCAGTTTTCGACAAGGATAGCAACCGCGGTAAATTGGCTTCAAACTAGGAAGGACCCTACATCGTCCTTGAGGAATTGCGCCCAGGCACTTATCAGCTACGAAGCCCCAATAGGAGAATCTTGCAGCATCCCTGGAACATCGAGCATCTCAAGAAATACTTTTAATAATTATAAATGCAAATTTCATTTATGAATATAAAATCTTTTAGAGTACTAACTCTTATGCTATATTCTCGCAATATTTTATTTTTACAGCAACAAAAGACCTTGGCGCCCTCATTAATTTCAAGACACTCAAACAAAGACCTTGGTACCTCTTTAGGGTAAAGCCAAGGCACTCGGTCGTCTTCGACAAAAAGACCTTGGCGCCATCATTAAGTCCAAGGCACCCAATAAAAACCTTGATGACCTCATTAAGTCTAAGGCACTCGACCAATGATCTTGGTACCTTTTCAGGATAAAATCAAAACATTTCAACTATTCTGTCGTCTTCAATAAAAAGAATTTGGCGCCCTCATTAAGTCTAAATCACCCAACAAAAGACCTTGACGTCCTCATTAAGTCCAAGACACTCAACTAAAGACATTGGTACATCTTTAGGGTAAAACTAAGGCACTCCTACCAGTCGGTCGATTTCGACCGAAAGACCTTGGCGCCTTCACTAAGTCCAAGGCATGCACCTGAGTCACTTCAACATACAAAGTCGACTCGTTTCAAGCTACCCATCTTGACGAACAGAGCAAAACAATGCATGAAAATATTTGAACAAAAATGGAGTTAAGACGCGCAATAGTTGGAAAGGCCAACAAGCCTCAGCTCGGGTTGGGAATAGGACTTAGGAGAGAGGCATTCGGTGCGACCTTTAGGGCTTGCTGAGGGGCGGCCTCTGGGGCATGCTGAGCGACAAGAGAGGCGGCCTCTTCTTGGGAGTCCTCGAACTCATCTTTGTCGTTGCCGTCATCCCCCTCCAACTTTATTCCCCCTCCCTTTAGCTTAAATTCCTTGAGGAAATCAAGGCAACTAGCAACTCTAGGGGGATAGAGGCTGTCGGGGGAGGGTTGGGACTCTGGAGGGAGCAAAGCCAGAAGATAGTCAAAGTCTGCCTTGCAGGCCAACGACACTTCTACTTTGCCCAAGGGGCCCTGGTGATACTCTATGACCTCTGATTTATGAGTCTCAGAGTCCAAGAAAGCGAGTTGAGCCTTTAAGGCCTAGACGGTTGCCCGAGTCGCCTGGTGAGCCGACCTTTCCTCCTCAAGATCCAGCCTTAGGTTTTGGACGACTAAGCTATCTGACCGAGCACATTCCTGCGCAACGAGTCGCAACGAGTCGGCCGTGCTTCTCGCCCTCAACCTCCTCTGCCAAGTATCTGATCTGGCCATCACACTCGATAATTTTGTGCTGGTAGTGGCCGATCTCTTCCTTCCGCTTAGCGATGGTGGCTGACTTCTTGGTGCGATGCCCCTGAAGCCCCCCGATTATACCTCCCGGCGCAGTTTGCCTTCATTTCGGCCCCAAGTCACACGCTCAGCCTCTAAAGTGGTGACTTTCCTCTTGGCAGTCTCCCTAGTCGCCCTTTTGGCTGCT